GACAAGAATTTTCTTTTGCATGCAACTTTTAGGTTTTTTGTACTACTGACAGCATGCATATTATAATTCAAGAACTCCCAATCTATGCCTAACTTTCACTAAAACGCTATCATAGGAAGAGAAGCAAGGCATGCATTTACAATTATGTTTTCCAGAACATATTTCAGCACATAATATTTACAGTCTATCTAAGATGTTATAGCTCTTAGCTAAATGCCTAAGAAAACATCCGATTAAAAAAAAAAAGTCGTAACAGGATTTTTGCCTTATTTTAAGAAAGGTTATAAAACCAATGTACTAATGATAGGTATTACCTTTACTTATTATTACTTTGGTCTGCATTTGAGTAAGTGATGAATGAATAACATTCATACACTCTATTAATCTATACCATTTACCAATATGAAAATATCTGGGGAGACTTCCTTGCAGAGGTTGCACTTACCAAGAGAGTCTCTGTAAGGAGGCACTGAGGTTGTCTGAGTTTCTGTGTCATGAGTTTCCTTACTTAGATGATGCTCTGTAAGTCCGATTAAAATCTGCATAAGAAAACCTATCAAGATCCAACACATTAGTTAGTTCTGATTTTATATCAAAACTGAATTTTTGAGCCTGTACTTAATGAAGTCATTTTCACTGTGCAAGAAAACCTACTTGATTTACAGAAAGAACCAATTATTTAAGTAAAAATCAATACTAGTAAACTATTAAGATTTTTATTATACGCATATTCCAGTCAACCTCATTCTGCAAAAGCTGTCCTTTTGCAACTTTTCCTTTCATCCATTTCTCTTTGTCTCTCTGATTTCCGAGGTCATTTGAGAGAGCAGATTATTGCTACTTTAATTATGAGGTCATTAGGCAATAGGGGTTTCTGAAGATCAAGCTACTTTAGGCTGTACAATATAGCTAGGTTTCATCATGCAGACATAAGAATTATTTCTTATATAAAACAATGGAAAGTCAATTAAATCTTTAACTAGTTTTTGAAGTACATTATGCAAGCTAATACAGTCCATTATAAACATAACCCAGAATCTGAGCTTGCCAAAGTTAGTGTGAAAAGCTTCCAAACAGCATTGTATTTAATACCTGATTACAGATTTTTTTTTCATTTATTTTGTAGGTGAATGTTAACACTTAATCCACACCACAAACAGGAGCTGGATAATACTGAAATATAATATTTATCATCCTGACATACTGCAAGTTTCAAAATCTTACTAAATCCATCTTATTCCGTACCAACACACACTCAAGAAATTTGAATTTCTATTGCTCGCATCTTAATAAAAATGAGGCTGACACAATTATCCTTGCTGCATCATGTACAAGCAGCTTGTACCTTTGTTTTCCTTCCGAGTTCCCGAAGTCTGTAAGAAATAAAAGATGTTTTAGCCAGTCTGCTTCATCACAACTGTAATTGAAGCTTATTTTCAAAATCAAAATAACTTTACCAGTGATTTGTAAAGACTGGATTTTGGATTGATCCTCATTAATTGAAGAAGATCTTGCATAGTCCACAGCTTTAGGGGGGGGGGGAGAGGGAAAGATAAGTTAGAAAAGGTTAACTACTTTAGAAACATTTCAAATATGTAACAGGCACCATTTTACAGTTGTAGAATGTTTTCCATTCAAGAAAGATCTGTTTATTGCCTTGTAAAACCATTTTCAGAGGCCTGCTGTTCTCATACTACATTTACTTATCTCCATTACCTAAGACATACACAGCCCGTGTGTAGTTCTATGACCAACTGAAGCTGTGAAAAGAGATAGTTTTGTTTCCTCCCCACCCTGGACACATGCTCTTGCTACTTTCCTTGCCTCGCTTCTTGATTTATCATACAAATCAGATGAGCTCCTTAACCCAAATGACAACTAACTACCCACCAAGTCAAATAATTCACTTTCAGTTATAAACAACTTCACCCTATCACATACCTATAGAGAAGAAACAAAGAGAAGGAGGCAAGGACTGCCCTCTTCAGCTACAGCTTGTAGTTAGAACAGCTTAAACTGACCATGAAGCACGCTTTCAGGGAACTGAATGGCCAAACAAGAGGCTAGCTTTAATCAGGATCAGTTCCCCAAGTGGTCTGCCACACAGCCTCACAAATGGTCAGGCCAGACTGCCGCTGTGGGTGAAGGAAGTACGAGGCTAAGAGCCTTGTGCTATGTCTTCCCAGAACAGCATCATTAGCTTAAGTGAAAATGGCCTTGAATATTAGAAGTCTTTTATGGAGATGATCAGAAACTGTACTTGCATTTGCATTTCACTATCACAAAAGGGGATTTTTTTTCAATTCTGTTGGAACGTAACACCCCCCAGAAAGCAAAGCTCCTAGAAATCTCAGAAGAGCTAAATTACTGAACTTACCTTCTTCTTCTCTAATCCACTTTCTGGAAAGAAAACAGAAAGTGAATACTCATAGCCACACCTCTGTAGATGATCTGCCACCAAACTGTTAGAAGCTGTGATCAAAAGCGAACTGTCATCATTTGGAACTGCCTGCGGCTGAAGTTCTCCACTTAAAATTGGGTGCATTAGTTCATGGATTAGCTGGTTTCGGAGCTGTGTCTGATACAGAAAAGACATTATATTCTCAGTTTACATGTTATTCAATGGCAGTTTTTATTTTTCAAAATTCACAGGGAGTCTCATTTTACTTGCACATGCTATATTACAACCTACATAACAGAAATGGGCAGACTAACTTGGATAAAATTTAGAAGAGTGCTTGGGACACTGTGCCTTTCTTTAAAATGCTCTAATGGTGGCTACAGTGATCTTTGACTTTCACTCAAGATGTATCAAATGTAGGACTGAAAAGAAGTATTGTTCTCAGTCAAGAACTCACATAAACTCCACTCTAGTACCCCCAGCTTCATTTGTAGTTCAGCACTTTCCTGTTCTCCTTCTCTTTGGCTTAAATAAAGCCTGCCTGACCTGGCCTCAATTTCAGATGTACTCGGAAGACTCAGTAGTCCTATTCTGAGTTTCATATCAAGAAGCTGCTGATGTAACCGCAAAAGCAGATGGGAGAATAAACAGGAAAGTCAATGTCTTTAATATCAATTATTTTGTAGGGAAGCAAAAGGGTAGTAATCAAAAAAGCCTACAGGCGCTAATAACAATTAAACTGCTTTTTTTTTTATTATTTATTTGCATTCTATGAGTTACAATAGAGAAAAAAAGTAACCTAAAATCAGAAAGTCTCCCTCCAGTAAAAGGAAGAAATAATAATTTTCATTATATAATTATACAAATTGGTTTTAGAGTACTAAAAGATCATGACAGAAATAGTGTTTTAAGCTTTCAACAGCAGGCATGCAACAATGACAGAGCTGATTAAAGAAATTGTGTGTTACCAAAAATGGGATGAAACACTAAATGCTTACCAAAACTTAACAAAGCTAAATCATCAGACTAGCCCGATATTTTAGCATGGCTTTCTACAGAAATTAGACACTAGAGAGAAAGGAAGACAACTGAAAAATTTGTTTTGCTTCTTCATTTCTGAACTTGCCCAGTTTCAACCAATTTTGACAGAGATGAGGTTGTCTCAAAAACAACCGAGACCAGCAACCTCTTCTACGTCTCATGACAAAGCGCAGGTGGAAAACGCAAGGCTAAATCCCTGTCCCTACTATTGGAAAGGAAGGTAGAAATCAGTTGTTATATGTCGGCCATTCAGCATACCTGTAGCTCCAGATCCACCCTGTCTCTTACCAGCACAGGCAGTCAGATAAGACCACAAGAAAGCTGAGAGTATTCTCATCAGAAGATGTAAGACTGTTTGCAGGAATCCATTAAAAACCCCAACTGTATTAATTTTTCAGCTCAGAAAAGCTATGAAATTTTTAATATGATGCATAATCTTCTAGACAAGGAAAAGAAGCAGGAAAATGGACTTAAACAGCATGCCACCTGACAGACTATTAGTTAAGTCAAACAACACAAGAAATGGTTCAGGCACAGCAAGCTTGGTATGGAAATTGCTAAGGAAGAAATGAGTTGTCCTGAACTGAGAATTCTTGGCCATAAGCTTGTTAGTGATATTCTTAAAATATAGATTTTGATTTATTTTTTTTTTAACTGTAACAAATCTGACATAAAAAGCAGGAGCTAAAAACATTTGCTGGTGACATAAGGACGTGCATGGAAGTATACAAAGATCAAAGCATCATAAAAAAATGCAATCAGATGATGTTTAAAGCCTAGCAAAACTGAAACTGCAAGAAATACAACATTTTAGCATTTAAGACCTGATACAAATTTCTGCTATAACACAAGGGATTTAGTGTTTGGAAGAAGCAAGATGTGGATGTGTCAATCAAACAACGACTAGCACTACAAACGTGTCATGCCTCAAAAAGGGATATACGCAGCCTTCCACAGACTTTCCCCACAAAAATAGGGAAGAATTAACACCATTCTACACTTTGTCTGGAAAGCTCACAACAATCATGATCTACTTCCTTTAAAAAAAGGGGGAAAGACTTCAAAGTGATGCAGAGGACTGCTGGGATGACCAGCACTGAGACTACTGGACCTTGACTTGCTTAGCATTGTAGAACAGAATGCTGAAGAAAAGGTATGACTGCTGCCTATAAATTAATCAAGAGAAGCAAGAGCTACTTAAAATGAAGGATACTTTCAGCACAAGAAAGAAGGCCAGAGCAACCACAAATAAACCCAGGCTACAAACCAGAACAAAGTTTCACTCTTGAATATAACCATATTCTAAGACACTCTCCTCCATGAGCAGACAAGAAGAAAACAGCTCAAATAGTTTTAAAACATAAGTGGAACATTTCAGTAGGAGAATTCACATAGCATGTTTACTTATAATAGGTAACAAACTGACTCTGTAACCTGAGAGGTCCTTTCCAAACCCGTATTCTCACTTACTCCTTTCTTCCCTGCTTGCTTTTTTTCTCAAGCATGGAAATTTTCAAAGACCCGATACAGGCCTTCAACCTTCCCGAAAAAGGTTCTGCAACTAACCCATAATGAAGGGCACTTCTGTTTAGGAAGACCTTCGTTTCTGGCAAATAAAAGCCGAATACGAATTAGGCTGTGGCGAAAACGATACAGCTGGGGAGAGTGGGAAACACATTTATTCGGCGTGACTTTCACTGCTTTCAACGTTAAGTTGCGCAGCGAATCACAGGTAGCGCCTGCTGAAAATAAAACACACCTTAAGTGTGTCCAGTACGCCTCGGTTCTTAAAAGTCTGATAGAGCCTTTTCCGGAGTTCATCTTGGGACAGTGTCTCCCTTTCAACCGAAGCCATCCTGCCCTACAATAACAGTGGAAAAAAAAAACAAAGACATTATTGACTGCCAGGTCGATCCCCGGCCAGCGAGAC